ACATACTTCGGATACAGTATCACTCAGAAGCTGACAAGATAAGTTTGATGTCTCAGACAAAAAATGAATACAGTCTAAGATGTCAATCAGCCTCAAAAGAAAACTAAAATTAGGTTGGTTTATATTTTTTGGCCAGTTTTAAGGGTTTTTTTTTGACATCTCAGCTGTCCTAAGATTCTTCAGTGGTGTGAAAATGAGACACACGTACAGGAAGAGAAACTCTCCATGTGCCCAGCTGAAGCATGGCACCGGGAAACCCACTGGCACTAAGGACCTAATGCAAAACCCCTTCAGTCACAGGATGCAACTAACCACAAGACACAAAGCCACAGGAAAACAAACCTCATTATTTCCACCACTCATGGAAATACCTAATCCTGAAAACATCTTCCATATAAATCAGTTCCTAGTGAGGTGAATAACTGATTCCTGGATGCAGTTTCCTTGAGTACACCTTACTCACAGGCAAAACGTGACTCCACACAAGTTCTCCCCCACTGTCATCTAGTCACAAGGGATATCCAAATACTTAGGTAGTCGGACTCTTCTGCAGTCACCGTGTCCATGATATCCCACAAAAAAAAAGGCCAAAAAGTTTTTCCAGTGCCACACATCAGCTAACTACTGAAACCAGAACAAATGAGGCCAGGGAGACTGCCACCACCATGGGTTGGCAGTAATACAGTCTCATGTGAGAAACTACTTTCAGGCTTTTGAAATATAAGAAAGGAGATATTTTCCTAATTTTCACTTGATTTTTTGCATTCTAACCCAATTCTGGTTGATGGAAAAGCTCTAATAATCTCAGTCACGCATGCTCTAGCCTTCCCAGCACAAACCATTTCAGAAGCAGTGACTGTTATCCTTCTCTAATACTTATGAACCAGTTTCTATTACTGGGATGATCAGCTTGCCTTGTTCAAACGACCATGAGAGCGACCACTAAGGAAAAGCAAAGTAACTCACACCAGATTTTCAAAGCACTTCAGCGTATACTCAGCAGCTCAAGTACGTGCCCAAAAGTTTAAGGTACTGAGCACAGCCAGCTCACAAACAAATCAGATGCTCTGGAAGAAACCTGGGGACCTAGAAGACTGTGACAATCAAACACAGTATCTTTATTTCCTAACCAGCCTTTTCAATTTTGCCTGCAATTTACTAACTTTGGTCTTGTATGGAACATGTTCTGGTTGGGTTTGATTGGGTTTTTTTTTTGATTGGGTTTTAATTGTTTAAAATGTTTAATTGTTTAATTTATTTTAATTGTTTGGGCTATTTAACAATTATCTACTATATGATAGTAACAAATGCCAGAGGATTATCTTCTCAAGCTACAAGCAAAACAACACAAGCATGTTTTCCCATGCTTTCTTTTCTACCAACTACGTAAAAAGTGCCCCAAAATTTCCAGTCCATAAATACGAACAATAACCATGTAAAGATCAGCCACAAGTAGGGTGACAGCAGAACGATGCACTGTGATTATGTCACAATTCCTTATTTTTTTCTCCCAAACTTTCAAAGAACATGGAGAGGGAATCAAATAAGATACATCTTATCCTCCTAAAAAATAAAAGATGCTGAAACTAATACAACTACTGGCATGAATATGCAGAGCGGGATTCAGACTGTACTCTTTTTGTCCTGCATGAATAATCCATCACATTTCTATTGTATATTATTAAAGTGACTTGCTTTTCCATCCTCCCAACCCCCACATCTGTGCTGCTGTAATTTACGTGAATTGCAGTTAATGATCACTTGCGTTATGCTTAATCAGCATATCAATAATATACTCTGCACAGACTAAGTAGCTCTTCTTTCTTTCCCCTTTAATGAAACCTATAGAAATGGAACTGGTATTTGACTGATTGGCATCACAAAAAGGTTGCCTAGGCAGGTGCTGGAGATGGTAGTACAGGATACAGGCCTTGTGGCTGCTGCCAATCACGCTCAAGCATCAGCAAAGCCCCCCATTATATTTTCCAATTCCGTTGCCTTGCTATCTAGAGGGGCTGACGTTTTGTACTTCAGGGATTTTAATGAGCTTGACCAGACCAGTGTTACTGACGCCAAGACTGTGGTTGTGTGGGATGGTTCAAGGAGAGATCACATTCTTACAGGGTGATATTATTAACCACGGTCTAAAACACTGCCATTAGCGTGTTCTTACGTGGGACACAGAAATCTTTGAATACAAGTGATCTATAAATCTTAACATGAAAGCCGTTGTTATATATGTCAAGGCAGACTTAAAAGAATAAAGAAGAATATTGAAAATGACAACAAATCCATTTTGGTCATTTTGCCAGAAATCAATCAATATCATGTATTGATAAGATAAAATTATTAACCGAGTAAGAGGCTTATTAAACACTTCAGCTAAATTATTTTTAGGAATTCCATAAGTCACTGGCTGCAGTGTACTGACATTCATGGCTTCAGATGAGAACACTGCTGCAAGCTGGAGGAGAATTGGCACAACACCAATATACTCATTTGTGAATCACAGCCTCCAGTGTAGCTCTATTAGCTCTACTCCGTAAATCACCACCATGCTATTAGCAATTTTTCAGTATGATGTGACATCTTTATTATAATGTTTTCCCACTAAAGTTTAAGTTCATATTTTAGTTAGCGCAGAGATAGATGCAGCCGTATTTACCAGGTTTCATTAATTGACTATAAATAAAAGGCTGTAAAAAGAAGGCTTCTCTTTCACATGATGTTCAAGTTGTCACCGTTTTACAGCAAAATGCCAATTTAGATAGGATAAATGTTACTGTTTCTATACTGTACACTCATGCTTCAATATGTAAGCTTAAAACTTCACAGTATTTTGAAGGCTGCAGTTTAGTCTCAGTTCTCTTACAAAAACACTCACAGTACATGATCTACATTAATTTACTACCGTGTGATTTTTAACTAAGAATTTCATTAGCATGTAAGAACATCAGTACACTGTGTACTGCAATTTACTTTGGCTTCAATATCCGTGGATACTACAGTAAATAGGAACAGCATGCACAGACACACACAAGTTGTGCTGGATTTACCTGACAAAAACTTGCAGAAGCTAATAAAACTGCTTTCAGAGATGCGGAGGCCCTATTTGGTAGGCTGATGTAGCACATCTGTTTTTCTTATAGCCCCCAAGATACCCTGTTCTCATTCCCTACCAACTGCTTTAGGCATCCAAGGCAAGAAAGTCACAGCTGCAGGGAGCAGAGCAGCAGATCTGCACAGCTGCAAGGAGATGAACAGAGCAGAAGAGTAAAGCAGAGGAGGGGGGAGCAATCTAGGACCAAAATTGCAAGTGAAGACAAGAAAAAAATGATGAGCTAGAAACTGCTGGAGAGTTCCCTCCTGGACATCCTGTTTATAGAGGTTTCTTATTGGGAAAAGCCAGCAGGAACAACCACTAGAAAGAAACATGAACCCTCTTCCCACTTCTTCCCCATGAGAACGGAACAATTTGTTGAGAGACAAAGGAAGAGATCCATGTGTAAACTCAAAAAATAAACCAAGCCTTAATCCTTAAAGGCTGCTAAACACCTGCATAACACTTAACATCAAGAAGGCACTTCTTAAATATAAACAACTGAATCCCATGAGGCAGAGATGCAAAAGTGCTATTACCACTAATCTCTGTAATCTGTAAAAGTGATAATGGTGAAGTAAAAGCTTGCCCAAAGCCACAGAATACTCAAAACGTGGACTTTCATGATCCTACAGACAAACCAATGAGCAAACACCTGCCAACAGCGAGAATTCAAACTGCAGTTGGTTTGGAAAAAGGACAGTTGCTGCACTCTTAGATAGCAACTTCTCACCCTTATCAGGACTAGAGACAGCATTTCTCAAGGACTTAGAAATGCCAGTACCCTCTGACAGAGGTTTACTCATTGGGTAGAAGACACAGGCACATGAAGACTTCTCAGAGTTGTCATTCTAAAGGTAGAAAACCAAAGTAAGACAGCCACAGAGGAAGGAAGCAAAGCACCTTAAGAGTAGGCACCAGTGACAGCACAGCAAGAGAAGGAGCCACAGGTCTCTTAAGTGTCTTCTTTCAGCAAAAGGTTTGATGGCACAGCCCTTTCTGAGAATGAGGGAAGCTCCAGAAACCAGGGATTCAGCCTGACAAATGGGAGTGGGGTTTGTGCCTGGGACAGAATGCAGGAGCCTCCTTACATACTTGCACTATGCAATGTCTTAAAGAGTAATGGGTTGTCCCTACACACAAACACATATACACATTCCATAGGAAAAAAGAAGCTGGGGAGCGACCAGATATCAGCACCGACGGATGGTTACACACTGGTACTAAGCCACCATGAATTTTAAAGAGTCTGATGGCAAATGCTATGTAAAAACGATGGAGTTAGCAAGTTCAACAGCACAGATGCGTTAATGCTGCGCTTCTACTTCTCCGACTAGAATGTCTAGATTTATTAAATCTGGATATGCAGCAAATTAGGGAAAAAAAGGTCAAGAATACTATTTAGACATTTCTTTAATAATATTTTATCTCAGTAGTAACGGTACTTGAACAATTTAGCACAGAAGTTATCAAATACGTACTTACAACACCTGCTTACGTCCACGTATTTTTCACCTTGCGCTACTTCCATCTGCATAAATTAGCAAGTAACACTATGGAGCAGTCCCATGATACCTTTGCGAAATACACAGTGTGACAGAAGAAGGAACAATACCTAAAGTGAAATTTCTTTATTACTTTTTTTTGGTCAATGCACCTCTTGCTTTCATTTTCTCCAACCAGACCGAGCTCTTCCCGGGGATCGCATGCAGTGTGATGCATGCTCAAAAGAGAAGGCACCATAGCTACGTAAGCTACATATTGCAAGTTTAGAGCAGGCTATTTTTGAAGCTCCAAAGAACCAGCGCTATTGCACGGTGTCCTCTGAAGAGGAAACAATGGTTAAACAGCACATTGGTCTGTAGCAGCACTTTTCTATTTCACAGTCTAGTGAACTCACCCCATGTGATGGGTAGGAGATCCAGCCCAGCTCCCCTTGAATTGTTTTTGAGTCCAGCAGATTAACTACAAAAGAAGACAAAATGAAGAGGAATTAGTTTCATCTGCCTCCATCCAGTTAACCTCGCTTACCCGTACCAAAAGACGTGTTTATTTGGGGACCCTGTGAGCACTTGATTTATTCAGGTGGCTTGGCAGTTAGCTACAAAGGAGAAAAAGGCAGACAAACAGAAAGGATCCTCTTGTTTATCATAAAACATGGTACGAACAGCAGACGGGGGAACTTCTCCAAACAAAGAAAGTGACAAAAAACAAACAATGGATGGCTGGCCAAATTAATTACAGCAGGGGGTGGGAACAGAGCGCTTCTATCAGCTGCACAAACTACAGCGCTTTCCCCTTGGATGCCTGAAATCTGGGTCGATGCATCTAACTACATAGGTGAGACCTGAATGTTTTAATCATTATTTGATTAAAGGCCTGCATTTGGCATATGTAATTTTCTCAGAATATAGGAATAAATAATGAATGCTGATTAAAGTCTTCATTGCTTCTGATCTAATTTGCTCTCACACTGTCTTGCAGCCCTGAAGTGTTCTCTAAATGCCATGTGTAACACATTAGATACAAAAGTCATTATTTACAATGTTAAAAGTGCAGGCAAACGTACTTTTAAGGAGACCCATCAATTCACAGTTAATCTTGCTGCTATTTTAAGGGGCACGCCACAATTTCCACAGTAAGAATGAAGCGTTTATTTGCAAACAGTCTGAGACAGACATTTTCCAGTCAATCAAATCACAGTGTTTTATTCAACATCCATTTTAAGATATGACGGGTATTTAAATACATACATACAAACAAATCATTGCATATTCTTTCTTATTTACTTGGTTTTTACAAGCCCACAAATCAATTCTGTTCCTAACCCTGGCCAGATAGCCTCCAAGTGTTTAATCACACAGTTTAATCCCTAACTAACCATTTCTTTATTAACATGAAGCAGAACAGGTGAATTAATACAAAGCACCATACAAAAAAACAATCAAACTGAAGTATTAGTACACAACGTGACAATGCTGTTCCCAGTGGCACCAATCTGAACACCTTCAGTATTTATTATCTGCAATTTGGGCTTCCTTTTGTTGTATAAATAACCATAAATATACCCATTTGTCTACATTTGTATGCACACACTTTTGCGCTGTGTATGTGGATACATGCAGAGCTATACTACCATGAACAAGCTGCTCTGCCATCTATGTGAGGGAAAATATTTCCCCCTGCAGTTATACACCCCTCGAAAAGAAAGCAACCCTATTTTGACTTTTTGCCTACACCAATAAGCAAAATACCTTTACTAATCTGATAGAAAGAAACATTATGCAGTGTTATATTTTCTTCCTCTGAATTCATCAATAATTAAATTCCCAGTCACCTAGACCATGAAAAATCAGTCAGTCCTTTATTGAGGGCATAGGGCCCCAGGCATACTATTCTGCATCTATAGGAAAGAAATACTAACCAAATCTCAAAAGGGAAAAATGCACCTCCTGCTTTTGTGACTACAAATTCCCACAGATTATGGATCTCTGGCGATAAGACAGATCTGTTTGCTGTGCATCTGCAATACGTGGTGGTGAAGGAAGTACTTCTGAGGTAAATTGCATGGCTATAAGTTGCTAAGGCAAATCACTTAGGAGTAAATGTAACTAATATATTTATTCTTTATGCTGCTTGAAAACATGATTGCAGCCACTCTGGAATTTATGAATTCAACCCAAATTCATCAGTCTCATCTGGAAAAAAATAAACAGGCAATAGATTCGCAACCTAACAGTTACAGCACACCCTCGAGGTGCAGATCAGCGTTCAGCATCACTCCCCATACCTCTCTCTATGTCAACTCCGTACTGCCTGCCTGCCTCTCAGAACAGGCTTACCAAGTTACCAGCTACTCTTACAGGAAGCACTCAGAGGCATCGCAATAGGGCCATGGGGGGCAGTTAAGTATTCAGTGAAAGCCATTCATGCCCCATGGATGTGCCCCATGACAGGCAGATGTCTCAGGCATGGTGCAGCTTGTGTTGCAACACACTGGGATCGAATCTACGACATATATGACAGTATTTTTTCAGCATCTCTCTTTCTTTCCATCCTTCTTATCTTCCTCATCTCCTTCCAACTAGCTGGCACCATTAGGCAAAGTGCTTTTCCATACTTGTGTTTCACTACATTTTCTAAATCCTCAGAAGAAAGGTGATCAGATGCAAGTCAGAGAGCGCAGGCAGGTACTTAAAGAGTGATATGAAAGCTACCATTACTGACAAGAAAAAACCAAATGACTCACAAACAGAAAAACCCCAAAGTAAAGCTGTGGTCCAGGTCTGTAACTTTATCAATAAGTAGTTTTGTGCTAAACATATTTATATGCACAATTTTAGCTTTATTAAACCTATTTATACTGCACAAACTTCGACTTCCTCCATTTTCATTTGCGCAAGAAGGAACAAAGTTTGTCATGTCAAGTAACTTTTCTATCTAGCAGAATTATACTAACTTCCTAGAAAACTATCCCTTTGCCTGGATGTCTTTATCATTTACCAGGTAAGAATTATATTACAGGTAAGCAGAAATACAGAGCAGACTGCCTGAGTTCTGAGAACTGGAAGTCATACATTCAATCCTTTTTTTCCTATTAAAGAATTATGGAATAAAAGAACCAACAAATAACCCCAAAAATAAACTTTCCACTACAAGTGTGCTGTTCTTCAACAGCATGTAAAATGCAGAACATATTTCCTTTCAGGTAGTCACCTGGAAAAAAAAACAAACAACAAATCACCACCTCCCTCTCCCCAAAAGAAGTTTCTAATGCACTCGTTTTCCTGTGACTTCAAGGAGTTGTACACCTTTGATAGAGAGCAAACGGTGAAATGGTGACAGAACTTACAAGCTTGGTCCCTAGACAAAAATGACAGGGAATGTGGGGTTTCATTTTGCTATTGTATATCCTAACATTATGTATGAATCTGGAAATTGAAGAAGAAAACAGCCTTCCCCTACACTGACTGAAAAAAATACATAAAGAATGGATTAGATATTCATTGTCTGATTTTTTAATGTTTTTTTTTTGGCATGGATTTGTAAGGTTAGGTAAAAAGCAAAAATGTCCAACTTTACACAAGCACTTGATCCATAGAATGACTCAATTCAACTTCTTTCAACCCTGATATGTCCTCTAGCGTAACAGAAGGCAACACTTGGTTCACAAAACTGACCCAACCAATTCATGAAGTGTATCATGAGGATATATTCAGTCAGATTAGCAGCAGCAGGCATACATCAGCCTGACCCTCACATTTTCCCACATATAATTAAAGTTAAATGAAAGCTGGTGTTTAATGTACTACAAACGCCTATGGCCATGTGTTTACCGGATGAAGGAGGGAACAGGACAGGAAGACAGTTCTAAGCCCTCTCATAGCGCAAGGCGTGCATCTCTAGCCACGCCAGCATGAAGGGAACCATACAACTTAAGACAAAAAAAAGAGGTCAAACTACTTCATGTGGCAACACATTTTCTCTCATTGCAAGTGTAATAACCATCTCCATTGCGCAAGCAATCGTAACCACAGGTCAGATATGGCCCTCACTTTAGACCTGCTTACCCACAACTGTCATGATCTTAAGTAGGGTATTGGGGAACAGAAGAAGGGTAAATTAATAACTCTTCTTCCTTCCTCTTACTGCTTTCCAGAAGAGAGTAAAGAGGTAGATTTTACAAGTCAGGCCACATGAAAGAGAATTAGCATTTCCAGGCTATTTCTAAAGCTTATCCATTTCTTATACAATGCATTTGCTCTCCTTGTGGCTCTTCCTCCTGCAAAACTGTGTGAGTATCATTCAGCTAGATCTTACAGCAACCTTTGATGTTGGCCAGCTGGTTACTACGGCTAACTCTTCAACTAGCTGAACAGTTTTGTTGCTATGGATGATTGTTTCTGACAGAATGCCTTGAAAAGGATCACTGGTTATGCTGAGACACAGGAGAGTTCTCATAAAACACCTTTCAATAAAAAAAGTACTGTGTCATAATCTCAGTGTCCTACATGGGTTCCGATCAGGTAATTAACTCGCTTCAAAACTAGTGGTAAGTACAAGGGAGAGTTTCTCAGTATTAAAAGACTACAGTGCTATACAAACCGAGCAACCATCATTCCCGGCTCTGAAAATCAAAGGCTTGGTCCTTCTGTACAACAGTCCTCCTCACCATATTGTACACTGTAGCTACTCCTGCCAAGCGGCAGCATAGCGGCAAAACGCCGATTAAGAACACGTTCTCTTTCTAGAAGCTCTCTCATGCCCAGGTCTTCTGGCCTTCCCCATTCATAACTGCAAGAGAGAGCATTATTAGTTCCCTTAAAACATAAAGGCAAATCTCTTTCCAGCAACTGGAGCAGGGACATGAATGGGAAACGCAAAGCTCGCTCACTCTCCTTTCTGTGGCATCAGGCAGAAGACGAATGAAGGCTCAGGTAGAGTTTGACAGGAGGCCTGATCACGCTACCAGAAACTGCTTGCAGTTTGAGACTGATTGTAGAGGGCCTGCTGCGAGGCTTAGAAACAGCAGGTTTCACCAGGATTAGTGTCAGTGAAAGGAGGAGAACTGTAAAACTAACAACTGCCACTTGGAAGCAGCAGCACTTGGAGAAACACGTGGAGTAACAACTGCTACAATACCGTATAAATACCTCCCCCACTAAAAAACAAACAAACAAAGGTTGTACCAGGTAGAACTACCCCGAGATCCCCCTCACTGCCTGAGAAATGGTGAGGAAAAGCTTGCTAGGAGGCAACTTTCAATACGTCAAGAGCCGCCTAGAAACAACCTCACACTTGACAGCAGGTCCATATCATATATTTTACGAAGAAAATACAGAGCAATAGGCAATGAGGTCTAATAGAGAAAACATTCTTTCTTCAACTAATTAACACTCCCAGTTAAAAGTTAAAAACACCCCACCAAAACCAAAGAACAAGTAACCACCAGCGTTCTGTCCTTT